ATAATATGAAATGTCACTCTTATACATGTTTCCTTAAAGTATGACGTTTGAGCATGAAAATATATAAATTGCTGACAAAGTTTAAATATCTAACCATTTGACGGCATATCAACATTGCTAGAATCTCACCTGTTTGTTTCTCCTCCGATTGATGACACGTCACCAACTTCTCGACTTTTATAGAGTATAGCATTGACCAGCTGAGCATGTTTCGAGATTTTGTGCATGGATACTTCTGAAAAATGGCTCACTAGATTTCGCTGAGAAAAATAGGAACTCCGACAATCAATTATGGACTGATTAATTTGTTCGCAAAGACAGTTACGTCGTCGTTCTAAGACAACAACACTTACAGAAGACTCACTAACTAGAGACAAATCCTGAGGTAACTAATACTTTAATTTTTCTTGACTAGAATCATATATTTGATTTATAGTGCTTACATGACAATGTTAATTTAGTTTTACATATCCATTTTCGAATACCCTGCCATCATCATAGAGACATATACTCAATATGATTTAGCTAAATACATTCGATTAATGTTCGACTACCAACTATTGTGCCCGGCCACTGCACAAAACACAATCAAAAGCTAAGCTTACCAGAACATATTTTGTCCAAAACACACAACACAGTAATGAAAACAATAAATTACCATAAGAAGTGTAATTTGCGGGAAATGCTATGGTTCTGTTATGGAATCATTCCGTCAGGATTTGTAACCGTTAGATCAACTATCCCGGACGGATACATGATGATTTAACGGTTACAGACCCCGACGGAATGGTTCCGTAACGGGATTGTAGCACCTGCAGTAATTTGCATACATTTTCCCCAACAAAAACAGAATTATCAAGACTCACAATAAATACCAATTATAATCAAATAATACCAAATTTCCACTATAATCAAACACCTCGCTCATAGAACATCAAAGATAAATCCATAGCATACCTCTTATGAAAAAAAAAAACAAGAAAATAGGCGAAGAAATAAATGAAAAGGCATATCACGAGTTTGTGCGTGAATCTAACGATTTGAAGCATAGAGAAGAAGATTGATTGAGCAGAGTACATAGCCAAGAACAGAACAGAGGGGTGTGTAAGTGTTCGATCGATCGATCGATCGATCTCCAAGGTAAACAACGTTAGATCCACGGACAAACATGAAATATGCCTTATCTGTAGAGTGACGGCTGCAGCTCAAAGTACAAATCTGAAACCCTACAATTTCCCATTTAAGAAGGTAATTGGGGTTGGACACAGAAAAGGTAAGGTGAACAGAGCATCCACGTGCCTAACGACCTAACAGGGTACGGGCCTAACGACCTAAGTGATCCACAACTAGAGGCGTGAGACTAATCCTTCATTAGGATTGAGGTGCCCCATCCTCACTTCGACACTATAGTCAGGTTCGATCCCTCGACATCCACACTCTTCCCTATTCTTTCAATCAAAATTTACATTCTTTCACATCCACGTCACGTTCACATCATATTTTCTACTAAACATGTCTCCAACACACATCCACATTGGTTCATTAATTTAAATACAAAATATGAGACTCAACACACTCATTTAATATTATTTTTATATTTTATCCCTAATATAGATAAATTTATTTTTTTAATTAGAAATTAGAATACTAAATTTTAAATGTTGAAAATCCAAAAATAAAAAATTGATTAAAAAACTTCCATTAAGATCACAAACAAAAAAAAAAATACTTGAACAGGAAAAAAAAATAATTGGTGGAAAATGAATCCAAATTAATATGTTCAACTAAGTCTGTACGAAGTAAATTTAAGGGAGTTTTTAAATTTTGAGAGAATGAAATTTGAATGTTAGAATTAAAACTTGAAATTTTTTGAAAAAGTTTTTTCTATTACTCGGATCCATTTATTTCAATAAATAGGAAGTTGTTAAATTTTTTTGGTACAAGAGAGTTGTAAAATTATAGTGTATTTAACGACAAAGATTGGAAGGATATGAAATGTAAATTATTAATAAATATTCGGAAGTGAGATATTGATATTTTTTGAATTTTTTATCAATATTGAGAAATGTGATATAACTAAATATAATATATATAAAAAGGAAAATTATTATATGAATAAAAAAATGATTTAAACAACAAAAAAATAAAGAAAAAATAAAAAAATGCAGTTTTTTTTTTTTTTTTT